AAAAAAAAAATTGTTCAAATAAACAAGTAAAAGGTGGAGGGGTAAAATGAAGAGTTTACTATTAATTCACTGTTCAAATGAACAACGAACTCCTCACCTATTTTAGATATATAAAGATTTTTTTATAAAACAAATAGTTTTTTATAATTTCATAATATTTCACTATTTCAAAATTGATATCTTTTGTCCTATGAGTATATACTAGGATAATAAGAAAAAAGTAATATTGAATTTAAAAAAAAAAAAGAAAAAAAAACTAAGATTGAGTAGTATAGTATGAGAATAAAGTAAATCATCGATCTGTTTGAAAAAAATAACGATCGATTTTTAAAAATTTTAACATTCAATCAAATAAAAAAAAACGTAAATTGATGAGGAAAAAAAATCAAAGAAAAAAAAAGACATATAGTGCATCAACTAGGAATTAAAATTTTTATTTTAAATTTTTAGCGATCATAATGAAATAATTCAAAAAAAAACTAAGCAAAAAAATAAGAGTGAAAATTAAAAAGAAAAAAATGAAATAATTTAATAATTTACAAAAAAAAAAAAAAAGAAAAGAAAATAAGTAAGACTGGAAATTAAAAAAAGAAGGGGAAAAAAACTCAAGCAAAAAAAAAACTGTTCAAATGAACAGTAAAAGATGGAAGGGTAAAATGGAGAGTTTATTGTTCAAATAAACAATGAACTCTTCACCTGTTTTAGATATATAAAGAACAGTTAAAAGTGGAGGGGTAAAATAAAAAGTTCATTGTTCATTCACTATTCAAATAAACAAGTAAATGCTTCACCTATTTTAGATATATAAAGAATATTCATTTAGAAAACAAACATTACGTTTCATCTAGAAAATAAACGGTAATAATAACTAATTGTCAGCAAAATATATAAAAAGATTGTCCGTGATTCAATTTTATTTACAAGTGATCTATTAATTTCAGTCCTATATATACAGCCTATCCAATAATGCATTCTTAGCACGCTCCTTCCAAACAAAAAAAAAAGGCTATTATCCAAATACAGAGTACATTATAAATTAGTTCTATGAAAAACGAATTAATTAATTAGTCCTTGTTATTTTAAATTTTAATTATTTATTCTTTTATTTTTTGACAGCAAAAAACGAGAAAAATAGATATTGTGAAAATATTGATTATAAATTTTTTTAAAATAAAATAATAATAAATCAAACATATCAATATTGATTAAAAAAATTTTTAAAAATTGTTTTTGAACAAAAAGAATTAATTTATTTATTTCTTAAAACTAAATAAACTAATTTATAATTTAGACACAAAACGGTGGAAAATTTTGAATTTGAGCTATTCAATTTTTAGGTCGTCGGTTCATGACTCTTGTTGTATTGATTTGATATTCTTTTGTCAACACGTCTTTCCTTTAATTTAACAAACTTTCAAAACTTTCTAGATCGTGGCAAGAAAAAAAGAAAGAGAGAAAAAGTTATTTAATTTGCTTTTTGGTTTCGTTGAGACTTAACTAAGAAGTGACTCTTGCTGTATTGATTTGAATTAGTCAGTCCTGTTCAAATACAACCAAACAAAGCCTTGTATTGGAAGGTCAATAATTGTCTGCCCCGTAACAGGTAGGGAAGGTTGCCTTAAACCGTTAGGGCAGAGGCGGGGTCAAATCAAGGTAAATTTGATTTTTCAATATCATAATATATGGTAATAACCTTTTTTTAATTATTAATTTGAAAAGAAAGAAAGAAAGGAAGGGGGTTGTCTATTCACCCCATTAACTAGATGACTCTAACCACGTGGCTACATCAGAACGAACGTAATCAGATCATCATATGAAAAGTACTCTACTTTGACCCCACTTTTAGTTCTTTCATCGGAAGCTTTCTGAGATTTTTCACACCAACGACCAAAGGTTAGATAATATATAATTGCATTGCATGGGTCCCAAGAGAAATTTAGAAATAAAGCATTTTACTTTTGTTACACGAGAGACGTGGCAGGAATGACATCATTCTCTTGCTTATAATTCAAACCATACGTAATATTATTACCTAAAATGAACATCTTCGATATAATTATTACCCATGAGTTTAGGATTTTAGATAAGATATAATAGATTATCATGCATTCATTTCGTTAATCTTTTTACCTATCAACTTCATTTCAAGTTTCCTAAAATCATAATTAAACTGTTTTTGTGTTGACTTTGTATCACTGCATATCCTTATCCTATAGTTATGCGCGCATACATACACCACCTCTTGCCCATTTGCAACTTTATTTGCTTATAGAAAAAAGGAATCTAGAATTTTGTGATAATTCCTAAAAAGCAATATTATATTCACAAACAAATCGTGATTTTTTGTTTTTTTTTTAACAAATTGATGTGATATTAATTTTTTTTTTCATGTTCAACCTAAAAAACACAAGATTTTGAGCATCTAAATGATTATATTAGGTATTCGCTCTTTGGAAGAGTTGAAAAAAATGGTAGTGGTATCTTTCTAAATCCTACACATATAGAACTCAAACAATTGCATTAGTGGTGTCGGAATTGCCTCAAGGAATCCACTCCAATGGTTGAATCAATATTTTGGTATCCTATATAGATATGCAAGGACGAGAAAACTTTTTAAAATTATACAAGTTTTGTTGGCCTTTAGTATAGGAAAGAGCTCATTTATATAGCAGAAAATATAGGGTATAATGCATACTTTTAGTGTGTTAAGCCAAGTAGCTAGCTATAAGACCACAAAAGAGAGAGTCTATAATTATGAGAATGCCCAACTAGTATATTTTATGGAGGAACATGAATATTTCATCAATTTCTCCTTTTGTCTCAGCATTTAGCTTCAAGCGTAAGTGTTGTTCACAATATAAGGATTGAGATTTCAAATATATATATATGAAAAATGATTTGGTTTACATTTTTTTTTATTCAAGTGTTTATAATTAAAAGACTCTTCATAAACTCGTGGACTTTAAAACCACGAAAGAAAACCTCAAATACTCTAATTGATAATCACATTAAAGTTGAAATTATTTAAGTGATTTTAAAAAATAAAAATAGTACATGAAATTGAAAATCATATCAATTTTAATATTATAGATTAATTAGTACTTGCCACTTACTTTAAGTAGATAAAGTACAAAGTGGTGGATATTTGTAGAATATTAGAGTTTTTTGAGAGAAAAAATGTTAGAAAAAAATGATGGCTTTCATATGGATTTGAAAAATGCATTCAATATCCATGAAAGGCTTTAATGATGAGTAAATTGTAAATTAGCTCTTCTAGTTTTGAACAATCAATTAAACAATCACTCCTTTTAAAAACTAATAATTAGTCCCTATGTTTTTATATATATTTACAACTTAATCCTCCTTTTCAATTTTTTTTTAAATATGAAAAAGGGAAAAAGGAAGAAGTAGATAATGCAATAATGTTAATGAAAAAAAAAACATATAGTAGATAATAACTCCTTTTTTTTTCTTATGCAAGTGTAATGGGTTTCTTTAGACTAGCTTATGCGTTAACTAAGACTAAGTTTTCTATTCCAACGATCCTAAAAACATACTTTTTACATTAGGTTGATGCATTTAGATAAATTTAATAAATTTTCTTGAGTGTTAGTTCTAATGTTTAAATTCGGAAAGTAAAAAAAGGAAGCAAATCTCCTTAACCACTAAGCCAATTCCTTGAGGCCGGTTAAAAATCACTCTAGCTACAATAGGTCGTTAAGTGGGAAAATTTGAAGGGATTAAAAAAATAATAAGTTTGAATTATTTTTATCACTTTTGATGAATTGAAATGTAATAATCTCTATTCTTTGTGTGTGTCTTTCTTCTTAAAGTGAGGTCGTATTATTAGTTACTATTTAAATATTTTAAAATTTCTTAATTTAAAATATTTAAATGTTGTTTGGTTATCGAAAATAAAAAATTGAGAATAAAAATATAAGAATCGAAATTACAAATAGAGAATGGCATTTTCACTTCAATATTATATTTAGAATAATAATAAAAAATTGAAATGAAATTTAAGTTTTAAATATTTGATTTTTAAAATAAATAAAAGTAATTATTAGTGTTTGGTGACAACATTGATAATTGTGTTAATAGTAATAATAGAAATAGTTAATACATAATAAATAAATAAAATATAATATAATTTTAAAAAAAATATTTTTATTTTTTTTATTTCAATCAAACACCTGAATATTAAAAATAAAATTATATTTCGATTCCTACCGTTCATTCTTTATTACCACATATGTTATTTGAAATCTTGATGGTCAAAGCCATCAAATGTACTTAACACATATAAAAGATTCTAGATCTGACTCATCATTCATCAGATCAAAAAATAAAACTTAATCTAAATCTGTAATTGCTGATGATTGTATTTGAAATTTTCCATAAGTAAAAGCTAAACAAAAAATGTTAAAAATTAATTTAGTAGTTGGACATTATTTATTTTCTTTTAGTAACAAATTATTAGTATAGAACATTTGACAAAAACTAAATCGACGGTTTGGAAATGTTAAATGTTTTTCCAATAATTTAATTCAAAAGATCATCTTTGTTTATTTGTGAAATTATTACTATCGCTACGACTTTTTATTAGGTAATCACGCTCAATACATCTCCTTTTCACTCGATTTTCTTTCAAATAATAATAAAAAACATCTTTCCATTTATAACCCATTCATTGATTTTAAACCCAAAAAGGGCAAAAAAAAAAAAAAAAAAAAAAAAAAACCATCAATCAGCAATAGTCCTCTCTCTCTCCTCTCTCCCAGCGACATGGTTTTTTTTTAGTTTAAATTTGGGGACTGAGAGTTCTCAATAAATACACAGAGGGAGGGAGAGAGAGAGAGAGATTTAGAAGGCTGAAGAGGTTGTCTTGGACATCTGTTGTCTGCTAAGGTTTTGAAGCTGAACTTAGTGTTGTTGTTTTCTAACTGTCCCAAAAGAGAAATAAAAAGAAGAAGAAGAACTTGAAAGAGAAAAAAAAAGATATGGGCACTACTGCTAATCAAGATCAAGCAATCAAGCAATTTCAGTCCTTAATGGACCAAGGTCAGCTCTCAAAACCCACCTCACATTCTTTTTAAATTTTCTTTTTTTTCCTTGATAATTTCGTCTAAAATTACTAACAAAAAGTTTCTATTTTTGGCAGTGGATGAGTCAATGAAGAACACATATCAGGTTAGTGTCTCTTTCTCTCACGGTGTTTTGTTGATCTGATATATGTTCGACAGATTCTTATAATTACTAAACTATTTAGTTTAGTTGACTGTTTGTTGTGCTAAAAATATCATATTTTTTTTAACCAAACATAAACAAGATAATCATACATAGATTGTTCTCTTTGTTTGGGTTTGATCTGGGTTTTTTATGCTATGCGGTTAATTCCTTGCTACTGTCTTTTCATGCTACTTGGTCTGATCTATATGTAAAAAGTTTGTGTTTTGCTGTATAGTTTTTGAACTTCTTTAGTATATGAGGCAATTTGTTATGTTATTGGATAATATTCATTGATCTCCTTTATGCTTGTCTGGTTACGGAATATAATGCTAATGCATGGTCAATGCATTGAAATTTGTATGATCTGTACACTAGTTGTTGATACTGGAATATATTCAAATGATTTTACTGCACTTCAATGAAAATTTTATTTTTCTTTTCTTTTCTTTGTTGGAGCAATAGTTGGAGCCTTTGTTTTTTTAATATTGAACTGAATTTGATGAAATATCCTGGACAGCATCATAAAATTTTAGGATTGCATGGTCTTTGTGTTTGAAATATACAGCCTACTTTTGTTTTAAACTTCTTTTAATCGAGTGGCTTAAACCTATTGTCTTTTGCATGTTGCCTAAAGTTTTCAGATGTGTTACTGACTTGCTTCTACACGCTTTATCAAAATAGGAGTATTGAATTGAATGAACTCAACTCCCTTTCCTTTTGGTAAATTTGGTGAAGAAGAAATTGTCTTGAGCCCCTCAAGCAAATGGAATGATAGATAGGTCCAAAAGATACAGCAGCATCAGAAACTAGCATTAAGTTCATAATTTGGGACGGAAATAATCTTACAATAGCACAAACCATCTAGAGTCTCAATTTCTTTCTGAGTCTGCCATTACATTGAGTGATGAGAGTAGTTGTACGGTACTTCATCCAAGGTTTTCTACATTTTAGGAGGATTACAAGCAAAGGACAAAAGACAGTTTGAGGAACACTTGATGTCATTGCCGATATATTTCTTTGCCCTTTGTTATCCTATTGCATTTAAGATTGCCCCTTCCAATATTTGTGGTACCATGAAGGGTATTCTAAGAAACATGTTTTTATCTTGTTCTATGATCTGCAGAATATGCACCAGGGCTATCCAACTGAAACTTTGGTGCGGTTTCTCAAAGCAAGGGACTGGAATGTTGCCAAGGCTCATAAAATGGTTAGATCCATTTTCTTACAGAGAAGAATGTTATTTATTTAACTAGTTGCTGGGAATTGAATATTCTCTTCATATTTATTCTTTGTCTTTGGCTCCTTATTCTCTGCCGTGGTTGCTTTATTGTTCTAGTTGGTTGATTGTTTAGAATGGAGGATACAAAACGAGATTGACGACATATTAGCAGTGAGTTTTCTTTTTCCTTTAATTCTTTGGATGCTCGCTATTTGTTCTCTACAATGCAACACCTTATTTTCTCTGATTCATGTTCACATGATTAAAAAGTTAGATCATAAACTTCTCAAGCTCTACTCGGGTCTACCTTTAGATATATAGACTTGTTTGTTTTTTGCTGATCCATTTTAACATATTTAGTTAATCTTAGAAGGAAAACAGGTCAAAGATCCAAAACCATATATAAATAAGTGAAGCAAATGAAGGAGAACTCTCTACATTTAGTGAAACTAGGAGAACCCTCTACAAAGCTTCTTTGCTTTTCCTATATGCTTGTGCAAGATGATGCTTTCATCTGGAAAGAGAAGCTGAATGGAAATGTCTACCTCTGGACTTTGAAGGGCTAGCTGTCACTCAAACTGCCCTCTTCTTTGAAATAAGCCAGTTGGTTGTGCATAATTTTTTTTTTGTAGTTTACTGCCTTCCATGACTTACAGCAACATCAGGATGTAAACTCTTACAACACAAGCTGGAATGTAAACCTCCCAATTGATTAATAAAATGAACTGAAAATTCATGTCAGCTGCTTGAACAGGCAGCAATGGTCCAAATTGTTCTCTTATTAAGATTGGACTGATAGAAGATATGCCTGCTGTCTTTGTGTGTAGGATTCATCATATTTGGAGCAGAAAATGGCCTGCCCAGTTCTTTTCTAAAGATATGAATTATCTATTGCCTACTTATGTTGTAAATACTTGTGCAATCTTCTCCAGTGCTTCTGTTCAAAATCCATATAGCAATTGCATGGCTCGACTTTTATGCATATTTGTTAACACTATTTGTGTTTAAGATTGCAAATAGAATGAGGCATACATTTTAGTTGTAGTTGATTTTCTAGCAGTTTATGATGGTTCGTAACGTATTAGTGAATCAGCCGTGCATTACATCTGTTGGACATCATTCCCATGATTATTGATTTGACTCTTTCTATCTCAGAAACCAATCATTCCCACCAATTTGTATAGAGCAGTTCGAGATTCTCAACTTTTAGGATTATCAGGCTACTCTAAAGAGGTATGCATTGATTTTTCCAAGTTCAATCTTGTCATCCAACACATTACATTGCTGTAGCTGTTTTGCTGAAGAGGGAAGGGGAGGGAGAGTGGGGTCGTTGGCGATTGAAACCCATTTTTCTGTAATAATTTGAAAATCCTGCTTCTTTATGATTTCCCTTGTTTTTTGTTGGAAACCCCCATAAGGCCCATATGGCCAGAAATATTTCTGAGAATTTTTTAATGTAATATTTTCCGCTTTTTGTTGAATCATTCAGGGTCTTCCTATCATTGCCATTGGCGCTGGGCTCAGTACATTTGATAAAGCTTCTGTAAGGAGTGTGTTTTATTATATCTTTATTCTATTTAAATTTGAAAGTTAATAATTTGCATTACTGCAGCAGTGATAATATTGACTAGTATTTGTTTCTGCCTTCTACATGCTGGTCCTCTTTCTGTTTCTTTTAAAGCAGTATCTTTAAATATTGCTAGGTGCATACATGTGTTTTTGACATGCAAATTACTGTTCGGTTGTATTTACCAGACCCCCTCTTTGATTGCTTTTAGGTAAATTACTATGTGCAGTCACACATCCAAATTAATGAATATAGAGATCGTGTGGTATTGGTGAGTATAGTATCCTCTACGTATGTGACAAATAGTTATCATTTTGTCTTGTTGCATAGCTGAACTTGGCTAGTTTTTCTTGTAGCCATCTGCAACCAAGAAGTATGGATGGCATATTAGCACCTGTCTGAAGGTTTTAGATATGACTGGCTTAAAGCTTTCAGCATTGAATCATTTAAAGGTATCTTTTGTTTCAAGCATACTTTTAGTTTGTGATGTTATCTTTGGTTTTAAGGCATACTTTTAATTTGTCATGTTCTCTAAATTGTAATTTGAAGCTTTGAAAATTTCCAGAAAGGGAATAGGATAGGTAAATGTAGCTACATGTGAGTGGAGTTGTCAAGCTATCACTGCACACTTTAATTTGAACAATGTCCGCTAGTAATTTTATTTAGTTTATTTTTTTTCAGCTGGTGATATCCACTTAATTCTGTGCTCTTTTTTTTTTTTTTTTTTTTTTTTTTTTATGTAGATGCATCTGCAATTTTGTTCCTTTTGTTTTATGTTTCTCTGAAGAGTTTGTGTAGGTACAAGGTTTGCTATATTCCTATGTTTTATTGACTAATTAGCCTATTCACTCTTAGGAGTCTTGTTGAAACTCGATGTTCTGATATTTTTTAAATCTCCTGTTGCAGCTATTGACTACTATGTTCACAACCAATGACTTGAATTATTGAAAATCCAAGTTCTGATATTTTTCATATCTTCTATTGCAGCTATTGACTACCATGTCCACAATTGATGACCTGAATTATCCAGAAAAAACAGATACATACTATATTGTCAATGCCCCATATATATTTTCGGCCTGTTGGAAGGTCTGTAATTTTTTTTTTTTTCCCTAGTCAAGTAGCATTTGAAATAGTTGTCTCAGGAATACATTACACATAACCCTTCAACAGCTTAAAAATTTTGGAAACATTGACAGGTTGTGAAGCCTCTTTTACAAGAAAGGACGAGGAGGAAAATTCAGGTGCTGCAAGGTTGCGGAAGAGATGAATTGTTAAAGGTAAGGCAGTGCAACAAAGCATGGTTTCTGAACTCTCTTCTAAGCTTGCAGTTCTTTTCTAATAACGGCATTGGGCTTTAACTTCTAAACGCACTTTAAATCCTGCCCCTCAAGTCCTTAACCTTTCGGTATAGCATCTTAGAAGAGGACCAATGCTTAACAAAAAATTACATGTTACTGAGAAAGAGAATATTCATAGTACCTCCCGCGCTGTCCTTCCTTGATTTTGCGTTCATATGCAAAATAGAAATTGGGACTCTGGTTATTGGACAATGTCCTCGACTTTTTATCACTCTATGTCTCTTATGGGTTGTGGTTGTCTTGTATTGTGTTTCTGCATGGCCAAGCCAACTGAAATTGCTTTTGTTTCTTTTCTTCTGTTGTAATTTCGACTTGTTGAAGAATGCCAGTCTCGTACACCTCCTCCATAACACAAGTAACTAAAGATGTCTGATCAGGTTGATTTTATAACTTTCATGCAGATAATGGATTATTCATCTCTGCCACATTTTTGTCGAAAAGAAGGCTCTGGTTCATCCAAGCATGCCGAGGATGGAAGTAATTGTTTCTCCTCAGACCATGCATTCCATCAACAGCTATACGGTTATATGAATCAGCAAGCTGGACTTCTGGATTCCATTTCACCAATCAAACAGGGGTCAGTCCATGTGGATTTCCCTGACCCAGACCCTGAAGATTCCAAGATTGCGAAAACGATAGAAACTGAGCTCCACAGGCTGAGGGATCGGAATGGGCTATCTAACTCATTAAATGGCCTTGAAGTGAATGGTAATTAACAGATGAAGAGCTTTGACTCCTTATGCTCATAAATGCCTGGCTACTTTGAAAGCTGGTTTGTGTAATTTTGTTATCAGGTCTTTGCTTGCATCAGCTTGATGCAGGTTTTGATAAGACAAAACTAATCTGATTAGATTGAAAATACCACTTTGGCATTGAGTGGATAATTAAATTCCGGTTTTAAAATACAGGAGCCGCTTTAATTGCTTGAATAGTCCATTGTGGCACTAAATGAGATTCCCACCCATACTTCTGTTAACCCATTTTCTTTACCATGTTGCTATAAGCCCAAAGTGAGAACCTCCCTTTTGATGGCTTACTGGGCTTCGTAATGGCAATGGAATTGATACTTGGCTCCTTAAGTCGATCTCATACTCTATCCATTAAAAAATGTTTTACCCATTATTTTGTTCATTATTTATTAAAAATTATTTGTTCATTTTTTTATCTAGTCAATAACCATTATATTATACTTGTTTACTTGTTAATTTTTATTTCCTTAAATTGAGAATTTTTTTTTCAATTTTTGCCTTTTTTAAAATATTTTTTAATTAAAGTTTATTTTATAAAAAAAATCACGTAAATACAATTTTAAAAATTATAAATAAAATATTTTAACATGACATAATAATTAATAATTTTTTAATTTATGTAAAAAATTAAATAGAATAATTTTCTTTTTAAGATAGAAATAGTATAGAGTATCTTAATAGGTCATGTCAAAGGAAAAAAAAAAAACAATAATCTATGGGACACTTCTGGTCTTTTCATCAAACTGATTCATGCACCTTTTATTAAATCCTGAAATTTAGATCAATAGGCATAAAAGCCGCGGTTGGCTATCTAATTAATTTGGGCAAAAACAAGTTTCAAAGGTTCATCCTTTTAATTTAAATGATTGTTTCTTGTATTCTTTTATAAGAAAACTGATCGATGTTTTTCAGAAGGTTAACATGGATCAAATAGAGAACCATGGAAACGGGCTTCAAAGAAACATAAGGCAGAGACACATCCCTTGTTGCACGGGGGAGAGAGAAATAGATCTTAAAGAAAGAAAAGAAGTTACAGTCTTCAATTTAAGGAAACTTGAATTCAATATCATCAATATCCCTAACGTTACTTCACACACAAAAAAAAAAAAAAAAACTGGTTAATAATTTTACTCCAAATTTTACTTATTTGATGTTGATTTAAATTAATCTTAACAAAACTTAATTACCACTCAAAAAATAATAATAATAATAATAATAATTGCTTATAACACTAGTACCAAATCCAATTATAATAACAGCTTGGCTATTTTTGGGAGAGTTTTATAAATAACTTGTACTAATAGGAATATGACAATTTTAACTTTTTAATTAGAATTCAATTCAAATTCAAAGGAAAGAAAAACTTAAAAAAATAATGTAGAAAAGAATGCAAAATAAAAACCCATGGTGTAAAAAAAAAAAAAAAAACCTGCACACACACACACTATGCTTTTGATTTATGAATAAGAGAAATTGCTCATTTCTTTTGTTTATTTTAAAATTTTATGTTTTAGTATTTTTTATATTAATGGGTAAAAGATGAGTAATAACGTAAAAAAAGATACCCATATTCATGAATAAATGATCAATTAATATAAATGAATAATACTATTTTATCCATATTTAACCCATTATTTATTAGGATATTTTAAAAGGATAATTAATAAACTGACTAGGTAGGGTACTTATTTTGTATCGAACCCACTGCCATTCCTAATCGGACTCGGAGGTTCTATTTTGTCTTGATGAACTCTCTATCTTTGAGACTCTTTAATCCAAACCTATATGTGTGTGTGTGTGTGTGTGTGTGTGTGTGTGTGTGTGTGTGTGTTAACACCTTTGTTTTTCTGTCACTAAAGTTGTTATTTTAACCGTTAATTTTAGAATATCTTTATAATATAATTTTTCATATTTAAAAAAAAAGATAAAAAATAATAAATAGATAAATAATTTAAAAGTAAAAGGGAAAAAAGATTAAGTTTTGCCACTTATTCTCCCCCTCATGTATAATTAACCATTTTGGAATATATTTTTTTAAAAAAAGAAACTGACAAAAACGTAAAATTAATAAGATAATCAATTCACATTAAAACTACTACTACTAATAATAATAAACATATCCAGTTTTTCTCCCAAATTTTTTATGAAAATCAAACTACCACAAACGCAAGTTGTATGTTTTTTTTTTTTTTTTTTAAATCCAATTCCGTTATGTGGTTAATATATGTATATTTTTAACAAAATTTTTCTGTTTTGTTGCGGAGATGGAGGTGTGATGACGAAATGGGTTATAGTGCAAAGAGTTTTTTGATGGATTTAATTGGGCTTTTTGTTTCTTTTGTACTTTCGTTTCACGCAATTTCAGAATTATCTTTTTATTTTTGTAATTAATAAAAATTCAATTATAAAATCAAGACAGAAAAAATTGACAGGACTTTTCTTTTTAATTTTCTTATTTTTATATTTTTTTATATATATTTTTTAAATTCTTTATTTATCAGTTATTTTTGTTTTTTGTTTTTAATATAACAAATTATATTATAAGAATATTCTAAAGTTAAAGATCATATAACACCGCTAGTGACGGTAGAACTAATGATGTTTCGGAATTAAGTTTCAAAGATGAAAAATATCATTAAGACAACTAAATATTACAGGGGGTACATTCGAGGTTAATCTTTTGGCATCAAGTACAGGAGGAATAAGGGGGTAATGAGCTAGGGATTCTAGCATTCCGCTGACTGAAAAGAATTTTTTTTTTTTTTTACCCAAAAGGTCTTTAAATAAATGTCAGTAGTGTTTGGTAGTTTAGTGATGAGTTTGGAAGTTAAACGACCATATATTGATTAAATGCACATTTAAATACCAACTTAAAAAGTTATAGAATAATAATAAAAAAAAAAGTACAGAAAAATGAGGAAATTAATTCACATATCTGTACAGGTCTGGTCCTGCAGGATTTTGGTTGAATTCCTTCGCCATTAAAAAGGATATTACAAACATTGGATACAGGAAAGGGAAACATTAGCATTAACCACACTCTGGATTTTGTTCACAACTGTCTATAGCACTTGTAAGCAACAGCAACTGACGCTACTGCACAAACAACAGCAAGAGCTGCATATGTGTCTTCCAGCTCCCAGTTCTCAAACCAAGTAGGCATAGCACAAACCTTTCGTGCAGATGACCCCTTACTGCTGTTGGTCCGGGATAGTAGTTTCTTGCTGCTCTTCTTCTTTTCAGCTGTCACCTTGGTTATCCTCTCATTGCCATCTACACTGTCCTCTGGTGAGACAGGGTCTTCGCAACAGGATGAACTTCCGTTTTGCTGACAACAGCCTGTAGCAACGACTTCAGACGTACTTGGCCCAGTGTTTGCTTCATCTATTTGTCTTTGGGTGGTCTCTTTACTGTTTTCTACAGTCCCACCATTTAGTTGGAGCCTTAGTTCTTGGGATTTAATCTGTTCTTCTTCTGATAAACCCATCTGGCCCCTGAAGGACAGCAAGCAAATGTTCCATTGAAGTCTAGAAGGCATACTTCAATAAACGTGTAGATAAATACATGGAAATCAACGATTGCACATCTTGTTTTTTGTGAACAGCCACTTTCTATTTTCAATTCCCCGTTTTATAATTGTGATCTAATGGATCAAGGGAGTAACTCTACAATCCTATTGTACCAGCTAGCATCTAGACCACACAATCAGCCATGGCAACCAACCATGTTTTTGGAGAATACAAATCGGTGCAAGAAACTAAAAACGACCTCAGCCCATATAGCTTTATAAAACTAGAGAAAAGAAATTAAGAATACCTCCATAGCCAGTCTACAATCTCTCCCTTCCCAATATGCTGCTCAAGTAACAATGATATGTCATCTGGGGAAACATACCCATACCTGTAGCATTTAATTAAAAAAAAAAAAAACCAAAAAAGGTTTAGTTATTTAGAAATGTGTTTTAAGTACTGCAACTACCACAATAATAAAAGATGAATTCCAAATAAATAGAAAACACAAAAACACAGATACCCTGCTCACCAGTGTCCAGTGACAGCTCCATTGATGCTTGATCCAAATATAATGACATTTCCTGCATATTTATGCCCCCCAATGTGAGAACATGGGCTAACGGATATTTTACCTTGTAGACCATGCAATTCTATCTCCTCTTTGAATCTACTAACTAAAGCAGGTCCACAGACACCACAACGACGATCTCGGGACCCATGAGAACATACAAAAACATAAGAACCCTTTAGTTTTTCTGGAGTCCCGGGCAACCATTCACCATCCTTCACAAGCACTTCCTCAACAAATGTGTCAACATCAAAATGTGTCAATCTCCTGCATCATTTGCTAAAGGTTATATTAGTACTAAAGTAGAGAACTACAATTACAAGAGCATCTAGAACCTCGAAAAAAGAGACACTGGTTGACCTGTATCTGATCATATCTGGGAAGATTAACACATCTCCATTTGATGTCTCAGTTCCATCATGCCCCTCACATATTGTTAAGCGAGTCTAGAAGTCAGAAGCAGGAAAACTTTGAAAAGTAAGAAGCTTAATAATTTGTTTCTCTAACTTACTTTGGCAAAGGAAGCAAGATTAGAAGTGTAAACAAATGCATGCACCTACATGTTTTTGCATCTCTCTCTGAACTATGCTTTACATGCTTAATTAACAAACTACAATATGGCAGCTGCAGCAACAGCCAGTGAAAATTCATGTTAGCCTAACCCAATGCTATATAATCACTCGCCTGTGAAAAAAAAATCATTCAGAAATGGAGCTTCCATGATTTTCATTTCCCTATGTGGAACAGGAAAGTAAGCATCCATATAGCCAAGGGTTCATATTGCCAAAGTTAAAACCGTTTTATGATTTACAAGCGAAAGCACCAAACCATTTGTCTTCCAGTTCAGGTCTACCTAAATTATAGATGTCACGTAACATGAAAATTAAACAATCACGATCCTGAGGATACCATTTAGATACTTCCATAATGCAAATTCCAAACGCTTCATTCTCAGAAACTTCATAATTACAGCAGTCATATGATGAATGAACCCCATGGACCGCTGGTCTATAATGTTGTTGTCATTTACCTATCTGGATCATTCGAATAACATGTGGTGTCTCAAAGTTGCAATTTGACGACAATAAAAATATAAAGATGAAACAAAATGGCCAGAATCAGATCAATTGATTGAGTAAAACATATCTAGCAGCATACATGTTTAACCATACAGTCCAGGGACACAACTCCGAACCAAAACTATCAATTTCCTCTGAAACCACAGCCATCTAAAGTAGTTATATGCACCGTCCATATCATGGTGGACTTTTCATGGCAATACCCAAAGTCCTATTGATCATCCCTCAATTTCTCCAAAGCACTAACCTGAACTCAAAGCCCCAATTAGAACTTTACCTACAATGGACATCCTTACATGAGTTTAATTACAACACCACCACATAAGGCACCAAATGTACACTTTGAAACACTGAACTAACATACCTAAACTTCATATAATTAATCATAATAACACTCCAAATCACCACCAAACATAGCAAGTCTGTAAACCACCCAGAATGTAAATCAATTAACTACAAGAAAGACCAACCACTCTGAAAGGAAAGAAATTGACGGGAGGCCAAATCACACTGTAAATCATTATTAAATCAAACCAATCCATTGATAAAAAGGAAAGCCTTCAATCTACTAAAATTCTTACAAACTCAAAGCAAACCTTATTAGTCCCCTAAAATTTAACTAAGTGCCATTCCTCCTCATTTGAAGTCAAATCACAATTGCTCTTCACTCATAGGGAATCCGCTAACTACAAAGAACTTCATTTGAAATAATTGATACTCGAACCAACAACATCAACCAAATCACACACCTTCAATCTGATGTCATTTGGACAAATAAATCCAAAGCAAAACCAGAAACCCACTTCAATCTACTAAACTAAACCAACCACATCATTTTGAAGCCACAATAACACAAAATCACACACTTTCAAGTCAAACCATAATTGAACCAATCCAAAAATCCCTTCATTGAATGTTCAATCCAGTAAAACTAGACCAACCACATTAAGTTGGATAAAACATAACCCCAAATCACACAAGTTCAAGGAGCCATTATATCAACCAATTCAGAAACCACCAAAACCCCACTTCTATTCACTAAAACTAAACCAACCCACATGAAGAGCAAAGTCACAAATCAACACTAAAACCAGTTCAAAATTCACTAAAAAAAATAATAATAATAAAAAACCAAACCCACATCAAAATAAAAGCTAAAAAATACAGAAAAACAGATAAGCCCACTTCAATTACTCAAAATAAAACCAACCCATTTCAAGAATCAAACCCAAAAGCACACCTCTTTCCTCATATCTCCTTTCCTAGCCATGACAGCAGCAGAGAGCAACCTAGGCAAGCGATCAAACTCAGCAGCCTCAATCCTAGGTGGCCAAACAGAAGGGTTCTTGTAACACAAGAAGACGTGGCGGTGATACAATTGTACAGTCCCAGCGAGTGGGCTTTGTCTGAAATCAGATCTAGAGAATCCAAACTCTGCATCATTGCTACTGCTTGCAGAAGTTTCATTGAGGAAACCAGAGTCGTTTTGATAGCTATTGGACGCACTGCCAAGGAGAGAGCTTGAAGGGTCAGTGAGGAAAGAGGCGTCCAAATGATCAGAAACTGTTATTGGAGAGGAAGATGATGAAGGGTTGTTGGTATATGAAAGTGGGTCGTCTCTGTTGCTTGCCATTCTTCGATTGTGTTTTCGAGGGGAAGTCCAGATTTGGCTTTCAAAGCTTCCACTACAGTGGGAAGGGAAGTGTGATGAATTTTGGCAAAAGTAAATAAATTAAACTTTTTCTACACCCTTTTAATTCTTAATTAAGGCTTTTTTTTTTACCAAGTAATGTCCCTTTTTATTTTTTATTATTCAAACCATCGTTCCATCAACTTTTTTCTATCTAGATGACTTATAAGTACACTTTTTTTATGGGTTGAGAGCTTTCAATTAGTTTTTTATTTCAAACTTCCATACTTACTTTTCATGTTTTTCATTAATTTTCTTTCCGTTTGGCAAATTATAATATATATATGATTGCTTTTCCGTTTTGGATCTGATTTATTTTTCATAGATAGTTTTAATTTAAATTTTTATTTGTATCAAAATACAGTATTTTAGCCTTATTTATCGAATCAAGATTTTTTTTTTTCCATGCAAGTTAGATTTATCCATGTCTTTTTTATTTAAATTACTTAATAAAATAAGGGGAAGAAAAAAAGAAAAAGTTTCAAACTAACTCATTTATTCTCTCCTTGTAAGTGGTTCCTTATAAGTGGTTGTTGACAGTGTCACCTAATAATTATCCATTTAACAAAGTCATTTAAATTTGTGATATTATGATGCCATTATTAATTGTAAACAGTTTGAATATCAAAATATTGATTTTTAGGTAAAATTATTTAAATCTTAGTTTGTCTCATTATTTCTAATGGTTAACTTTTTTTACCGTTACATGAAATGCTTAAACAATGTCGTTTAAGTATTTCACTATTATTATTAAAAAAAAAACTTTTAAAAAAGATCACATCCATCTTTCCATGCGTAACAAATACATCTTCTCCGATCACCTCCTCTCTCTCTAAATATAAAATTATAGTATCCTTTCCTCTCCCTTCATAACTATTTAACAACCTAATCTCTTTTCTCCTCCAACGTAAACTCGTTTTCCTTTCTTTCTCTTAAAAAATCTCAAAAAATAACAACACCAATCTTGAACCCTAACCTTAAAATCACCGCACCAAAATCCACCTTCAACCTCGATGACACAGTGGAGCTCAAGAAGGTCTTCAACCAATTTGACGCAAACAAGTGATCGCAGGATCTCGACTTTTGAGTCGGGTGAAGTTCTAAAATCCATGGGGTCCATCTACACCATAGAGGAGCTTTATTGCGTCATGGAGGACGTGGACACCGACAAGGACATGTACATTGATTTGATCAAATTTGTGATATAAACATTATACCATATTTTTATTCTCCTTATATTTAGTTTTTTTTTATTTTTATGTTTTATGTTTTATTATAATAAATAATGCTCATATTCATGTTTAGAACATAAAATTAGAAATTGAGTGAAATTGTATAAAAAGTTAGAAAATTTCAGCATAATTAACTTAGATCTTCTAGGCTTCTTACAAGTTTTTCAAAGCCTTAGAAAATGGATTTGAAAGAAGTGGTCTTTAGTGGCTTTTGTAGAGGACATCTCTAAGCTTTTCACAATGATATAGATGGGTCAAAATCTAAGTTCGTTTGGGCATTCAAACAATATCTCATATGTTATTCTAAAAAGTTAATATGAACTTCGGAGTCCAGCATTAGTTGCGGTGTTTAATTCATATTTAGAGTTTCGTAACTTCTATTGATGCAAGGCCAAGCTTTGGGATACTTAAGAGGCATACCTATAATTATTATGAATGCTCCGAGTTCAAAATAGGTTGGTCTAATGGAGGAATTCACTTGGAAAGTTGGAATTCTAAGGTCGGAAGGACATGTTGAGTCGATGGTAGTATTTAGCCCATAACTAAAGTCGTAGATCTTTAATTAATGCAAGGTTTAATGCTTTGGTAAGACTACAACTTTTATGAATAAAGAAAACTCTAATTCAGCATTTATCAATTCCATTCAAGCTAATTACCTAAAAGAATACACACAGCTATGAGAAGAAGTTTCGCCCGTGTACGATGAAGCAACAAAAGACACAAGGTTGTGCATCTAACTCTAGAAAAAGTTTTTGCTCGTGTGTGTTATTTCTTGACCTAGGATGTTATATAACCCTTTTATCTATATATATTTAGGTTTAAGGGGAGGCAACATATATGGAATTTTGGGCGTAAAACGATTTTTTCGATTATTTTATGTTTTGACTAGCATGTGTGGCTAAATTATTTGTATTGGTTCAAGAAAAATTCGAATAACAAAGCTTATTGTTAACTAGGATCAATAATTCTATAAGAGAAGTCAAATAACTTACCGTGGTTACATTCATTGAGTGCGAGAGTGAAGATTAAATCAAGAACTAATTATTAATCCGATTATTGTTAATTTATTATACCGCTTACTTGTCTTAATTTATCCATCCAAGTATTAAATGTCAAAGTCCCCTTTTTATTTTCTTATCTTTTTTAAATAATTAGATAATTGGTAAATAGTCCGAACCAATTCTCTATAAGATCGACTTTTGCTTACCCTAACTATAGTGTAGTAATTAGGTCCAAGTAAGAAAATAACTAGATTATTTTGGAGCATTCAACACCGTTGTCGAGAAATTATGTCCGATCAATTATTTTTTATTCTGATTTTTTATCTATTTTTTAACATGACTTGGTATTCTCAACGGTTTGGCTCTCAATATGACCTTTAATCCGAGAGATTCAATAAGGTTAATACATCTTCTATTGAGCAATAGATTGCTAATCTAACCTCTATAAGTGTGTCAAGTGGTCGTAAGAAATATGCAATAAGTCCATAATTATGGCATATATTCAATACTAGGGCATTCATTCGATATTTGCTCAATGATTCGGGAAGAACCTATTGATGTGTCTTATGCCATGTGGGGATTTTCGTAACAACCGTAGTACCAATATAATCCCTACTCTAGCACTTACACTAGTTATGAAAATCAAGTGTTTGACAATACAACTCACAATCATCAAAGATATCAACAAATGCAACCACCATTCCAAATTGTTACTCTAAATGCGGTATATTTTTTTAGGACATCATTAATTCTCTTATGATTAATACTATGCAATTTCAATAAAAAAACAAAAGCAAGCCTTCAAAATTTGAAGACTTAATTATGTCAATGAAGGATCATACATTTTATAGAGGTGCGAAATAGATTAAAAAAAATTCTCCGTCTAAAGGCCCCAAGATCATGCCGTTGAATCTACTAATCATACATACATGAATAGTAAGATAAAAATAAAGGATTACCTCTTCTAGCATAGATCTAAATTCCCTTTTATTGATTAGCCGTCTAAGTGTCCTGGTCTCTATTGATGATCCACACAGCCCCAAATATCCATAAAGTTAAGCACTCAAAATTGATAGGGTGCTAGCTTCACCTCTTCCGATTAAGTATTTCCTCTAGAAATCAATCCCGGACAACTTTGCAACAACTTTAAAAGAGAAGGTAAAAGGATTTTTTGCTAGGGTTTTTGGAGAAAACTATTTTCTCAACTTTTTCCCTTCGATCGTGTGCCCTTTTTGTTTTTAAAGGCCGACCGAATTTTTCCTTCCTTTTTCTTTTTGGTCGAAATTCTCTATTAGGTTTTTTTTCTCCTCTCTTTTTGCCGCTCCTCTCCTCCTATTTATAGGGGGAGAGTTTCCTTGTGCTCCAAGAATAAGAAAAGTGGCAATCTTGAATCCATAAAGGATTCTAAGTTGTTGCTTCCTTATCCTTCAAGGATAAGAAGTTATTTTATATGTGGACTACTTGAGGTTTATCTTTAAAACATTCATCCTTATTCAATAAGGTTTATGCTTATCCTCCCATCAAAATTATCTTAAGGCTTTTAATTAAACCTAATGGGGTAAAACTATTTTAGCCCAATTAATTTATTTAGACTATCTAAATAAATATTCTTAGATTATTTTGACGGGGTCCACATTAGGAAACAATTTCTCAAAATACCATTTAACCTAAATTAGGAAACTCCTTTCCTTTTAGGTTCTTTATTTTCAAATTTGAAACTAACTTTCAAATTAGCAAATCGATTTCTAAAATAGGAAACTTTCCATTTTTCATTTTAGGAAACTTTCTATTTTAGAAACTTTTTATTTTAGGAAAATTTCCATTTTGGAATCTTTTTCTAAAATGGAAAACTTTTATAATTGGAAACTTTTTTCAATATCTTTGCTTCTCATTTGTAATGTGAATACTTAAACTTATGCGTGTAACTCAATAGGCTCCTAGATAAATTGGCAATGTATTAAGAATAAAAGACTCTTCTTTCATCTCTTGATATATAAATTAATATTGGCCTCTAGCAAGACATTATAACTACCTAATTCTCTAGAAGGATTAGTAATCTGTTATTACCTTTCACGAGCATGGTTACCATACAAGTCGATCCTCATGTTAACTTATAACAAGTGTGATCTCAAACTTGGTTATTAGTCTTATTTGATTATTATCACATAAGTTTTCTTCGATTCTCAAATTTCTTAGCTCTTAGAGTAAACCAACCATGCTCTATTGGTGTACTCCTACCGTGGTCATAGATTTCTTGAGCGTACATTTATCGAAGTGCAGTGTGATAACTCCTTTAGCATACAAAGAATGACATGTCCTATATTAGCCATACACCTATCTCCATTGGATTCCTAGTGCACCCAACGAATTGCTTACGTGCAACCTATTAATGGGTCCATCGAAACGACTCGTCAAAGTGTATAAGTCCTTCAATGAGATAACCATGATGACTTCAAGCCTATGGACCATTTGTACCCATCTCGTATGAGATTCTATAGACTAAAACCAAATAGGTTCTCATGCCGAGTCAAGTCCAGATGATATGTTCTCCGACATAAATCTCCTAAGTGCTTGCTTTGGCATCACCATGCCAATAAGTGTGAGATCTCCTACTCGCTATCATATAGCATGAACATAGCACTCATAAGTCTATCCGTATATTGTCAATGTCCATTCTTGACGATACTATGACTTGGGATATTTAATGACA